ATAAATATAAAAATAGAGTGGTGATTTCATGAATAGTGATCTGGAGAAAAAGCCAGAATTCAGCAGAAATCTTGGATGGAAAGTGCCCTTCCACTTTGTTATAAAACACTAGAGACTCTTGTGCCTTTATCATCTCTCTTAGAAATTGGCTCTTCTCCAACATACTCAGAAAAAAAGAAAATTGACTGGCCAAATGAGAATATGTTACTTTTGTCATTGATCTAACTTCTGTGGATTTCTAAAGTCTAAATCAATTTCTTTAGTTCTTTTCAACCAGGAAATTGCATTGTTCCCCTTTGTGGGAAAGAAATGATCATCTCTTGGGCACAGATCTTGCTGAGCTAGTATCTGGACTGTGTACCCAATGAGAGTGACATATTGTAAATTTTAAATTAGTACTTAGCTTGGTTGACTACATGAACTAATCAGTGTGTCCATACTTGTTTTCTTCCTCCTATGACAAACATTAATTCCCTACATCAGCCCCAAGACCTTCTTATAATTTTGAGTAATTCTTATTATTTCTAGGATCCCTTGCAGCTCTAAATTTCCACATGTTAGGAGCCACATGTTTCTACATGCTCATTCTTACTGTATCTGGTAGCTGAACTTTTCTTTTGAGACCTCTGCACTCCTTAATAGATTATTGACAATTTCTTTAGTTTGACATTTCATTTCCTTAGAATATGGATCTGGTCAGCTTGCCAAACATTCTCTCCTTCACCCTTAATTGAACCCATTCTTTAGGCAAATTGGCTCTGCCTCTCCCTGTGCCTATTATGTTATTCTTGGTGAAGCTACATCTTAAAATGCTTCTTAAATTATGACCTGTCATAACCCTATCCAAATCCAACTCTTAAATCCCATTCTTGGAACCTTTCTCCTATTTGTCCACTCAGACTTTGAACTTACTTCTTATAGTCTGCCTTTATTGCAAATTCACCTATACTTTTCTTCCTGACAGTGGTATGCAGACTATGCCAAGTTTACTTTTATTATAGCTATACACACACACACACACACACACACACACACACACACACACACACAAGAAACTAAGTCAACTTAAGTTCAACTCTTTGTTGAAATTTATTGCCACTTGATCGCTTTCATTGGTATTTCATTCTTAGAGGCTTGAACACAAGAATCATACCAAAATCTGCTCATTTTATAAAATTGTGATAGTGAAAACTGACATGGGCCAGCAGGAAAGGAGACTCATTGGTCAGCCTTTCCAAAATAGCATCACCACTTTCAGGATTGTCTTAGTAAGATTTTTTATATTCAGACCCAGGACCATGATTTCATTCTTACTCACCTTAGAAGCATCACAAATGACATCAGCTTTGGCATTAATCCAATTTTGCCATTAACTTTCTCCATAAAATTTGATTAAGAGGCATCACAAGACTTTTGTAATTAAGGATAGTGCATTAGGAAATTGTTTTCCATCCATGGTTTGTCATATTCTGAATGATACTGAAATTCACTGACTACCTGTTAAGTAAAATACCTCCTTAACAACCTTTTTTCTGATGAGGAATTCCTAACATTAGTTTCTACTTCAAGTCTAAACTTTCATCCTCCTATGTAATTGAGTTTTCAAATTTGTTTACTGTGCATATAGGAACACTGAAGTAACTAAGTAATTCCTGGTGATTTCTTTGGGCCTCTTCAGGGAATCAGTGTATTTTACAACAAATACGTTGTTAATACTTGTTAATAATAGTCGTTGATTAGCTTCCATAGCCATGCATTAATTCTTCATAATTGTTCATTTTTCTTCCATGATGTGGATTAGAAAGTGTTAAGTTAAGGCACACATCTTTGTGATTCAAATATTAACTCTGAATCTGTAGTGACTTTTTTCTTATAAGAGTGTTTTGTGTAGTGAAGTTTTAACATTAGCTGATTTTCTTAGGCAGTTCTGCTATAAAAACAGTACCATTTATAAATGGTATTACTTGATGTAGGCTGCATTTTCAAACTATAAGTCACTTCTCTTGAACACCAACTATGAGTTGTTGCTTTAAATATTTTTCTCCACTGATACATGGAGATTACTGTAAAGCCACTCAGAAGTGAACTTGGCACATTTAGACCATTATGACCTAACCTGCTCTCAAGAGGCTAAGTCAGTGACAACTTTTTTCTCTTTTGTTATGTTACTGGGGATTGAAGCCAAACTTGTATTATGTAAGCCAGGTTAGGCAAAGTCTTCCTCTGCTGGACTACAACACATCTGGAGTGGTTTTTGTTTGATTAAGAGAACACTCTCTTGCTGTGGTGACGCCAACCATAAAATTACTTTTGTTGCTACTTCATAACTGTAATTTTGCTACTATTATGAGTCATAAGGTAAATATCTAATATGCAAAATATCTGATGTGACCCCAGAAGGTTCACAACCCACAGATGGAGAATCACTGTACTAGAAACATTTGTACTAGGAAAATATGTCTGGGATTCTGAGAGTAAGACAAAAGGAAGATCAGCCACAAAGGCATAAAATCCTGGAAGAAAAATGCTAGTTCCCTAATTATTATATATTTGAAAATATTTATTGTGATGGCCCTGTCACAGGTGCTAAATATTACAGTAAGAAGCAAAGATATCTCTGTAGTCACATAGGGGTATTGGGGTTGGAAAGAAGTAAAGTGAGAATAAGTAGGTTTCTTGAAAATAAAAAAGTAATCCTCAGAGCAAAATTTGTAACAAAGGACCAGTTATATATGTGACAAAGTGACAAAATTATACTCTTGGAAGGTCTTACTGAAGAAACCACCTAAAATGTAGTACAGATAAATGTTAAAAGAAAAGGGTATATGGTAGAATTGTGGGGATTGTGGAAGGTTCTAGAAGGCTTGAGCACTTGAAAAGATGTGACTATGTGTCTCATGTGAGCATCAAGAGAAAATAGAAATATTGGTGAAAAGACAAAACTGGTATAGGTGATAACTTCAATTATTTAAGGTGTGAAAATTAGATTCCTCACATGGGAAAATCCAATCTGAGATCTTACCTAGATCTCTAAATAAAAATAAATGTGTACCTATAAAAATAAATGTGCACTTAAACACTAGTGGTTAAACTACAGAACAGAGAGAGATCCTGTGAAAAGGGAACGTCAGTTCTCAGAGAAAGAAAATCGTGTCTCTCCAGACCTTAAACTGAAAGCAGTATTTGTGGGGAAATACCACTGATACAGATTCTAAAATTTTATGGCAAAGTATGCACTGAAAGACAGTGAATGAAAATATGAATTAGATAATATGAATTAGATAATCTCAAGGAGCTAGGATAGGAAAGGTGTGGGGTTAAAAATGAAACTTCAAGCCATCAAATTTATTCTGTGTAAAAAGTAATAACTACTGGCCAGGTAGTAGTAGCACACACATTTAATCCCAGCACTCAGGTGGCAGAGGCAGACTGCTCTCTGTGAGTTTGTGGCCAGCCTGGTCTATAGAGTGAGTTCCAGGACAGCCAGAGCTACACAGAGAAACCCTGTCTTGAAAAAAAAACAAATAAAAAGAGCAATGACTAATGACTTTGTACAAAGAAAGTGTAATACTATAGCAGCAGACAAATAAGAGAAGAAGCACAAGTGATCAACAAATATATATAAATTCACACTAGAAGCCAGAGGTTGAAAGTCTAACACTGATGTGGAGTAATGTGAACACTTCTTCTCTGGCACCTCTGGCTGCAGCCAGTAGTGAGATGACCTTCGCATGGCAGCCATACTTGTGAACTTAGCCTGGGAGGAGCCTAGGGAAAGGACTATCATAGGCACAAGTAGGAGAACAGAGGAGGGTGGTTTTGTCCATCTTCCTGTATTTTATTTACGTAAATGATTATACAAAGGGCAAAATGCTACAATGTGTTAAATCATGATAGTGTATATGTTGGTTTTCATATTATGTAAATATGGCCTCCTGTGTTTGAAATGAACATATTACACTTCCAACACCTGAAGTGTTGGGCACAAGCATAAGTTGATGAAACAGCCAGGTCAGTTTCTGGCAGTGAGGACAATTTGGATGTTCACTTCCGTTCAGTGGCTCCCAACTTCTTACCAGGACCCACAAGGCTCTTCCTACACAGCCTCTTTGCTGGTTCTCTGCCCCTTTTAGGACCCTAGCTCACTCCACTGCATGTGTCTCCCCTTATGGGATCCAGCTTTATTTTCTTTTTCCCTGGCAGCCTTTTGAATTTCTGCCCTCTCCTTCTCAGGAAATCTAGGGAAAAGTTTAAAAGCTGCTCTTGATCTAGTGGTGGCAGTGCAAACCAATTCATTGGCTCAGTAGAGCTATCTTCCTGGTATCTGTGGGTCATGTCACTGTAAGGTATCATTGGGACCAAGCACTGCCTGGTGTTAAGTCATCCCTGTATTCGTGGCAGTGTATGTACTCATGGGAATCTCTACAGGTGGTGCCTGGAAATAAATCTCAGGAGGTCAGACTGAATTCTGGCAAGCAATAACTAACTTTTGCTACTGGACTGATTATATGCAATTTCTATAAAAGTTAGGCTTAATTGGTATTTTAGGAAAGAAGTAGCTGATTCTCAATAAGGATGAATGCATTTGTCATTTTGGAAGTTGCTCTTAGAGTTATCTTTCCTAATCTAGTTAGTAAAACCTCATTGATGTGTGGTGCTTTATTTTGAAAAGCAGACAACAAGCAAGGCTACTACTAATTCTGAGAATAACACTGTGGGGGAGGGGTGCCTATGGGCCACAGCCTGCCTGTGGAGGTCAGAGGACAACTTCTGGAAGTAAGATTTTTTCCTGTGAGCCATCCTGACAGTTTTGTTGTTGTTGTTGTTTTGGTTTGTTTTTGTCCTTTTTTTAAATGGCAACATTGCCTTTGCATAGCTCTGACAACCCTGTCACCGGGTCATTTGCTCCCTTACTGATGTTTAAACAGACGTTTTTGGAAACCAACATCTTCATACATTTTATGTTCTTTGTTTTCCAACAATAAATGATTTTCTTTCAGGGCATTCTACTTGGACAAGTCAAATTCACCACCAAATGCCACATCCAAAGCTGCCTACATAGATAAGGTAAAATGGTGATTACGTTTATCGATGCAGCTTTGTTCCTGTCTCCCCCCTAGTCTTTCTGCTTCCCCTCTTGAGCACTGCTTGATTATAGAGGTTTACAATACCCAGTGTGCTGCCTCCATCCTAAGATGGTATTTTAGATGCGTGACCTAAAAGCTGGGACAGCTGAATTGCATGCCACCTAAAAGGACTTCTAAAAGTGTTAAGCTTTGTGTTCGTCACTTTCTTTTTAGCTTATGAGGCCTCTCAATGCTTTAGATGAACTTTACCGGCTGGTCACCTCGTTCATCAGATCCAAACGCATCGCTGCCTGTGTGAACACACCTTGCAGCGCCTCTGGAGTTGGACTGCTGTCAGTTTCCTCGGAGCTGTGTGACAGGCTTGGGGCCTGTCATATCATCATGTGCAGCAGCGGTGTGCACCGGTATGTGAACTTCTCTGCCCTGGGGCTGTTTTTCTTGTCCTGTATTTAATGTGACTGGATTAAAAGGACTCAGATGTGTTGAGGTACAATTTGAGATGTTTCCTGGGTTGGATTCTTGCAGTTTTAGTAACTGTAGACAAACCAATTCCCATAATCCCCTATTTATACCAGGATAGCTCAGATTTGTATTCCTCTCATGTTTGTATCACCATATTTGTATTTCATCTTTCTTATTCACTATAGGAATTTCCTTAGTTGGAACTGAACTCAAGTAGCCCAGCACCACTGTTCTCAGGGTCTGCACAGACATTCTCTTCTTCGTTGGCTCGCATCCCTAGAGCCCACGTGCCCTGGGACAGATGTCCCTTGGGGTTGCAATGCCTTCCTCCATGGACAGCAAAGTGACAATCCAGGAATTCAGACGATATGTTTCGATCTCCATGATCAGTCATGCCAAAGGTGCTGTCTGGGGCAGCCAAGGCGGTGCATGAGACTCGACCTCCAGTGGGAGTGAGCCTCCCAAACGAGTCTCACTTCGTCTTCACTTGCTCCTCTCTTCCCATTTTATTGTGGAGTGAAACCTTAGAGATGAGGATAATAAGGTAGAAGTTTAGTCTTCCCTTTGACTGTGCCACAGGATGTACTTTCTTAGTACTATGTCATTTACACATTGGAGGTTATGGTTACATTTTTATTCACATTTATTTGTTTCTTGGTCCATGCAAAGTACTGTAAGTCGTGCTGTGCAACTTCATATAGTGAGGGTGTTCATGTCGAAGACAAGTAGGAATAGCTGAATTTAAATCTAAAACGTTTTGAAAATTTTGTTTTATTTTTATATTACTGCAGAATAACACGAGAATTTCATATAAATTTTACTTTTTTTTCGTGAAGGACTTGCTTAGATTTTTTTTCAGGAGGATAAAATATGTGCCAATTTACATTGAAATTTAAATTTCCACAGAAGGCTGTTCCTAAAATAATCCTTTAGTAATTCTAATTCAGGCAGCTAGAGAGGGAGCCAAGCAGATCCACACCTGCAGGAAACATTAAGGAAGTTTGCAGTCAGGTTCCCACTGAGAGGACAGATTCAGTGTTAATCAAATGTTATACAAGATATCTTTTAATATTTATTTTTAAAATAGAAGTGAGAAATAGCCAAACCATATAGTATCTACTTAAATTGCTTTATTGCATTTTTATTTATTGGGTAAAGGGCATGTCTAAACATTATTAGGAACAACAATATGGGTCTAAGGAGAGGCAGGCTTAATTCACATTAACATAGCATCTACATATTTAATAATGCAGTTGCACGATTAGCAGAATGGAATTTAGATGAATTATGAAAATCACATAGCACTTAGCTTGGCTTTGTCTTTATTGAATTATTCCACGGGAAAAAACTTCCTTATCCCTTCATACTCCCCTCTGCCTCTCACTGCTACGTGAGCTCTCCATTGCCTTTGAGTAGTTTGAGGGAGGCAGGGTGGGCTCTTTTCAGGTGAGGTCTTGCCTTTTTAAAAAAGGATAAATATGATTACAGGTGATTTACTAATGGACATTATTTGGAATTTTCTCTTTACATGCCCACCTTTTCCATGTAGAATCTTTTCCTGATTTCTATCAAGTACTACACATTTGCACATTGCTTTATTAGTGCAAACACTGTCTTAATAAGAGCTGGTGTGTCCTGTGGAAAGTGGGAAAATTCACTGGAATGGGTTGTTACAGTAAGTTTGACCCCCTTAGTTCTCTGGTCTCTTGTGCAAATACCTTCAGTAGGAGATCATGCAGCCAGAAGGCATGCACCAGATGGAGGCAACTCAGTCTTGGACTTCATCTTCAGCCTCAATTTTAGGAACTAAATTTATTTTTAATTACCCTATCTCATGTGTTCTGTTATATCAGCATAAAAGACATGCTTTTCCATTATCTGCCTTATGTACCACCTAAAGTTGCAACTCATGAGTCTCCCATCACTTAGTAATCTCTTGTTTAAAGATTACTTTCTTTTTCTGTCATTGCACATAATACTGGCACAGAGGCATCCTTCTACCTGTTGTTGTCTGTTAAGTTAAAGTAGAAACATCCTCTAGGTAGAATTACTGTATCAGAATTTAAAGCCTTTTGCTTAATACATTATAGTTCAATCTCCAAAAAGAATTTTTTTCAATGTAACAAAACAAGTAATGGTGGCTTACCTTGTCTTTCCTTACCTTGTATAGGGAGGACAGTGTAATTCATCTGCACATTGTTCTTGATACAGGAACAATTATATTTCTGTAGTGATCTCATTTATACTTCTTTGCTAACACATTAAAGTATTTGCTGTCTTATGAATTCCCTTTCCTACAGAGACATGTTACGTATACTGTGTTGTCACCTGCCTAGTAGATGGAGTTATATTTGTTTTCCCAAGTGGAACCTTTGAGTGGTATTGAATCAGCTTTTTTGCTTTTCAAGTTCTGCTTTGTACCCTTGTACCCACACCAGTTATTTGTTCCAGGCACTCAAAGAGCTTGTGACTGTGTTTGAGATCTAAATGTCCTTTTTGGTTCTTATTGCAGCATCTTTTCATTCAATGTGTTTTTTTAACTTTGTTTGGACTCCTTATTCCCACCGTTGCTTAACAGCCTCCCTTTTCCCTTTAACAAATATAAATCAGTACCTTGCAAGTGTTACAAAGTCCCAATAGGTCTGTCCCTTACTGAGTCTATAAAGATGCCTTTCTCTTCCACTATATTAGTATCTGCTTCATCAGACACTGGGAACCCATGAGTAGAAATCTTCCTGGAAGGGCACAGGATACATGTTTTAAAAACTTCTAGTGAAGGCAAGGCATCTGGGATCATTGTGTGCCTCTTTAGGGTCTTGTCTTTGTGCTCATCTTCATCCAATTTTTAGAATCTTGGTGTGGCTGTGCCAGCAAATGGTAAGTGATTTCAGTACAGGACTAAGGACTTGACTAGCCTGGGATGTGTCTCATTAGATTCTTCTGTAGAAAGGAACTACTTTTGCCTTCATGATTTCTGATGAGATTGCATCTCTTCAAGAATCAGTCCCTCCATTTTTATCTAATACACCTGACCTTTCATCAGTGGAAGTTGTCAGCTAAGCCTTACTGTCTTGATAGAGGTTTGAGGCTTCTCAACTCCCACCTCACGCTGCATCATATGCTCTTCTCATACTCCTGGGCCAGCTGGTTGCCATGGTTGAAACACACAATGCTGATGAACCTCGTTCTTTATGTATAATCAGCATCCGGATATTTTCATTAGTAATTGTAGAACACACACACACACACACACACACACAGTTTTAAGAATCAAGTTTAAAATGGTCCATTTCCAAAATACATTTATTAGTAGGTTATTAGGAATTTGAGATGTATTTTCCTATTTGACATTTCAAGAGTTGCTTGGGATTCCATGGTAATCCCCTGCCCTACACCCACCAACAGAAGCCCAACTATGTAATCATGGTACAGGACCGTACCTAAGATTATAACATTTGTTGTGGAAATAAAATCTTTCAGAAGGTGAAATATAAAAACAACTCCAAAGAAAACCAGCATCAGCAATGTCACCAATGGAATAATTTTCATTCAAAGATAAACAGTATAGTGATAAACAGTCAAAAAAGTCTTTCCTGGGTAACACCAACTTACATTTGCAACAGCCACTTTGAACTTGTGAAGGACTCTTTCTTAGTGTATTTTATTTTGTCATTAACATGACATCGAAGGGCAAATTGACAAATAGGCTCAGATTAGGTAATGTAGACACTTATGAAAATAGAACATTCAAGGTAACCTGACTTAGGTCATCATAGGATCCCAAGAGGCAGGCAGCAATGCTTTGTCGCTATACCTCATAGCAATATGAAATATGTCAGAGGACACAGTCTACTCTGGGGGTTTCTGTATGGATGTCTATGTGTGGGATAAGAAAATAATAAGTACCTCCATAAGCAAATGAAAGTTTTAATTGTATCATTTATATCTTGTGCAGAAAGTACTTATAATAGCAAGATTCAGGAATATGTTTAAATTTTAAATCACTAAAAGATGGTCAAAAGAAGCATTCGTTCCCAGGGAGAAGAAGCTTTGCCATTCTCTAATCTATATTCTTCAATAAAGAGGCTCTAAAAGATAGTATACTGCTAAAAAGATTGGCAGTGGTACCTTTCCATAACTCAGGTGTTAACCTGTCTCACGGGTCCTCACCCTAAGAAGCGATTTAAATATTACAGAATTTTCCAATAAGCAAAGAAGCCCAGAAATTTCTGCTGATCTGGTAACCAGATGAATAACACAAGCGTATGTATTCTCTTAAAGTAATAGAGGAAATTAGATGTTCCAAACATGATAGTAGATTCAGTCTTTCATAGAAAGTACGGAATGAAGGAAGCAGCTGTTTTCCTTATAAACTCATTCACATCAGCAAGTGATGGCATGGCCTAGACAGCCTTTACTTGATACAAATCTGCCCTGATCCGCAGGGCACAACAGGTTCAAGCCCACGGGAACCTGGAATGAATGAGACAAGAGACACGAGAGAGATGGGCAGCAGGACAACATGGCTGATGGAGCTGCATTTAATGAGACTTCCGTAGAGGCTTAAATAGAGGAAATGAGGTAGGGGGATGGGGCAGAAGACTGCAGGACAGTGAGGGAGGGGTATTTGCCTAGTAACCAGGCCACTGAAGGGAAGCAGGTAACAGGTGTTAACAAGGTTAAAGGGTCACAGAGGGAGGGGCTTAAGTGATCTAATTGTGGAATGTTTCCTTCCTGCCATCAGCTATTTCCTGCGAGCCCAAGTTCTGTTCATTAGGAAGCTTGGGAGGGGACGGACTATTCTTAAGTAAAAGACTGACAATATTTACAAGAGGTTCTAAATAACAATGATTGCTCTCAACACAAATCTTGATCAATTAATGCAGGACATTATTTTACTTTTAAACGTCCATTATTTTCTTAAAATTCAATGTAAGCAAAA